GCCCCATTTTACGATCTTTTCTTGCCACAGTTGTTAGTAACATAGTGGTTAAGTGAATGTGGCTTCCCCATTGACTCTGTCAGAAGATCACAAAAGGTGATCCCAGGGCATTGCAACCGTCATAAATACATGCCAGTTGTCAAGCATCCACATTTTCATTACACAACTATGGGGATGCTTCCATGGATGTAAATATGAAAAACACTCATAACACACTTTTTTCAGTGGTGTTATAACTTCAAACAGTCACTAAACAAATGTAAGTTGAGGACTACCTGTACTCTAACTATGGTTTTGGTTATGTCTGATAATGTTTCTGGATTTCAGTCCTGCGTAGACATAAACTCAGCATACAATGCATTTTCTTTCACTGTTCAGACATCCATTCCAGATAATATAGGACAGTGGTTCTCAACCTTCCTAATGCCGCGACCCTTTAATACAGTTCCTCGTGTTGTGGTGACCCCCAACCATAAAATTATTTTCGTTGCTACTTCATAACTGTAATTTTGCTACTGTTATGAATCGTAATGTAAATATCTGATATGCAGGATGTATTTTCATTGTTACAAATTGAACATAATTAAAGCATTATATGTAATTATATATTGTGAAATATTTCTAATTACAAATAAATGAAATTTTGTCTCTCTGTCTCCCTCTTTCTCTTTCTCTCCCTTTCTCTCTCTCCCTCTCTCCCTTTCTTTCTCTCTTTCTCTCTCCCCCTCTTTCTCTCTCCCTCCCTCTCCCTTTCTCTCTCTCTCCCTCTTTCTCTCTCCCTCTATTTCTCTCTCCCTTTCTCCCTTTTTCTCTCCCTCCCTCTCTCTCTCCCTTTCTCTCCCTATCTCTCTCTTTCTTTCTCTCTCCCTCTTTCTCTCCCTGTCTCCCTCTTTCTCTCCGTCTCCCTTTCTCCCTCTCCTCTTTCTCTCTCCCTTTCTTTCTCTCTCTCCCTCTCCCATTTCTCTCTCCCTCTCTCCCTCTTTCTTTCTCTCTCCATCTCTCTCTGTCTCCCTTTCTTTCTTTCTCTCCCTCTTTCTCTCTCTCCCTCTTCCCCCCTTTCTCTCCCTCTCTCCCTTTCTCTCTCCCTCTCTTTCTTTCTCTCCCTCTCTCCCTCCCTCTCCTTCTCTCTCCCTTTCTCTCTCCCTCTTTCTCCCTTTTTCTCTCTCCCTCCCTTGCTCCCTTTCTCTCCCTCTATTTCTCTCTCCCTCCCTCTCTCCCTTTCTCTCTCTCTCCCTCTTTCTCTCTCTCCCTCTCTCCCTCTTTTTCTCTCCCTGTCTCCCTTTCTTTCTCTCTCCCTTTCTCCCTCTCCTCTTTCTCTCTCCCTCTTTCTCTTTCTTTCTCTCCCTGTCACTCTCTCTTTCTCTCTCTCCCTCTCTCTTTCTCTCTCTCCCTCTCTCTATTTCTCTCTCCCTCTCTTCCTCTCAAAGATCCTTAAAATCCTTAAAAGTTATGCTTGGGTGGAAGACTTTTTCTTTTACAGATGGGGTGGGTTGGCAGACTGGCCATTCCAGGGCTTCCTGCACCGGCTGACTTAGTTGTCTGCAACCTCCTGTTGTCGCTTGAGGGGGAGGAAGGGACACGGGTGGGAGAGATTCCTTCTTTCTCATCCGAGGAGGGAAGTTATGTTGGACCGTTGACTCTGTGTCGAGCCCCGTGGACCCGACATTCGCGGGCAGGCAGGAATCCGCCCGCCGAGCCGCCACCTCCCCATCGCCCTCCATGCCGGCCGGCTCCGTCGCTAGACCTCCCAGCTGACAAGCGCACATTCAGGGGGTCGCCAGCTGACGGGCGCAGAAGATTGGCGCCGCGGCGGCCTCCCAGCCATCCGCTTCTTCGGCTGGAGCGATTGCCAGGGCTTGCATGGTCGCCGGCGGCAGGGAGCGCGTCAGCGGCCATGGGGACCACGCCAGCGGTTCTGTGCCATGGAGGCTTGAGGCGCGGGACACAGAGCGGTGCGGTGCCGTGCGAGGTGGCAGGACAGGGGGGAGGGGTTACCTGCATCCTGCCAGCCGAACTCTGGAAGCCTGCCTGAATGAAGAATTTTAGGGGCAGTTGAAAGCGAGACAGGTTCCTAAGACCATCGGAAATATGTGTTTTCTGATGGTCTTAGGCGACCCCTGTGAAAGGGTCATTCGACCCCCAAAGGGGTCCCGACCCACAGGTTGAGAACCGCTGCACTAGATGAAGCTAGGCAGTCATACAAAGCACAAGCCGATAAAAAAGGGTTGAGCCTACACCATTCATTATAGGAGAAATGGTGTACTTATCTACAAAATACCTAAAGTCCCTACAACCCTGTAAAAAACTTGGACCAAAATATATAGGGCCTTTTCCAATTAAAAGAATCATAAACCCAGTAACAGTAGAATTAGAATTACCCAAAAATCTCAGGCAAATACACCCAATTTTTCATTGCAGCTTGCTGAAAAGAGAGCATCAGTCATCGTTACGGCCAAAAATCACCCCCCCACCTCCAATCATGGTGGAGGGCGAACAACACTTCGAAAGGAAATCCTCGATTCTAGGAGATATCATGGAACTACTCAGTACCTAGTAGCATGGAAACACCTCCCTGCCTCACAAAACGAGTGGGTCCATAAACGTCATGTCAGAGCCCCGAAGCTATTAAAGAAGTTTCACAGAGTATCCTAACAAGCCAGACTAACTTTTATACCTGTTTTGTTTTCTTTTCAGGTGGATCTCTCTTATTTTTAAGGGGGCAGGATGTCAGAATCCAATTATATTTTATCTCTAGTTATCAACTATGGAAAACCCCATTTCTGCCCTCTCTGGATTCTGTCATACTACGAAGGGGAAGGGGGATGAGCAAAAGGGTTTTATGGCTCTCACTTCCTTCCTTACAACTTCAAAGGGACTGAATGTGGATCTCACCAAACGGACTGAGCATAACAATAGGGCCCATCAGCTTTCATCTACTCCTCTCTGAAGTCTCCTGCCGGCCATGAGGAAAAGGGGGTGGAAATGTAATGCCTGGGATTGTCGCTGGAAGGACGGTGGGGTGGGGTGCTGCTTGGGAACACTTAAAACCTTGAATGGTAGGAGTGGGCCCTCAGGTCCTGTCTAGAACGCCTGCAACCATCTTCTCTTAATAAAGATGCCTGTTGGAAGAAATATTCCAAGAGTTCTGTCTTCTTAAGATGCAAAGTGGGGTGGGTCCTTACATTAGACAGGACCTGCAGAATTAGTCCACCTGGAAGGGAGAACCTTGCCGGGGGACTTTGCAAAAATTACCATGTCAGACGACAGAGCAGGGAAGGGAGAAAACTCCCCGGAAAGGGAGCCGCTGCCCTGACTGAAACCCTGCCAGATGTCGGGATCTGAGAGGTCAGATTCCTCAGGAGAAGAGGTGGTGGAGACACGGGACCACAAACCTTGGTGGTCAATGGGCGTTGGAAAGAAAGGCTGTCACTAAGAAGGTGGCTATTGCGAATTGTGCCCAATTTTACAAATTTTTTTGCTGCAGTCCTTAAGCAAATCACCATAGCTGAACCACTTGGAGTATGTTCTGCTTATAGTCCAGTGCTACACTTTCCTTTCCACTGCCACTTTTTGCAGATCTTTGTCTTTCTTCTCCTGCCTTGGGCTTCTTCTTGGTTTCTCCTCCCTAGCTGTGAGTCCTCTGGCTCTCCGCTTTCTCAGCCACTGCTTCTGCTGCTCCACATCACATTTGTCACTTTTTCTCCAGCACATCACCTGCCACACCTAAAAGTCTCTCCCCCACTTCTCTCTCTCTCTCTCTCTCTCTCTCTCTCTCTCTTCTCTGGCTTCTTCTATAGTTCTTTCTTTCAAAAATCTATGTGCCAGGCAAGAAGTGCTTGCAGTCAATTCTTTGGATCGTAATGGTTTTACTTTTCTTTTCTATATGATATGGCTTACATGCCTAGGCTATATACTTAACAATAAGACTGCCAAAGAAGGGGAGAATGACCTTGACAATCACACATAAGATTTTCTTGTTTCAGAGCAGCTCATCCTTCCAGAGTGGGGATAGTGTGACTGATGGAAAAATGACTTTCACAATCTGGATGCGTGTTCTCAGCAATCCTGAGCTTTCAGAAATGACTTAGAGAGAGAAAAGCAGTTATAAAGTAATAAACAACAATGTAAGGAAGAGGATGTTTAGGTGTTCTAGTCCACCTCTCTTTTTGTTAAGTATACCCTCTGACCTCCATTTCTATGAGAATATAAATAAAACAAGCATATCTATACATAATTAGAATGAATATGTAAATCAAACAAGGCCCTGTCATATCTACCTCTGCTATCTGTACCATCTGAAATTGTCATCACATCTTGCTGTCTGGGGATTAGCCATTATCTGAGCTGGACTGTTGGCCACTGGAGAGATTATTATCAGTAGTGTCTTCTTTTTCTTTGAATCTCCTCCCTAGAAAAGTTTGTTAGCTTGGTTTGCCCATCAAAATTACTTGTCAGCCAAAATCCTTCTTGCTGTAGGTCTGTGTCCTTTGACTTTCTTACATTTTTCTTACATGTAAATGCATACATACATTTTATGTATGTATGTGTATTTTTTAAGTGTGTGTGTGTGTGTGTGTGTGTGTGTGTGTGCGAGAGAGAGAGAGAGATTCGGTAAATTCCTAAGGGAACAGAACTGGATACAACCTCTGCCTGGTACGGAGTTGAATGTATCTTTCTACAACTTGAAAGTGTGTTACAGTGTTTATGTGCAGTTGTTTATTGACCCAGAGTAAGAAAATTGTGAAGAACAGGTGCAGATGTTTAGACATTCTTTCCATCAGTGCCACCTCCTTTGTGACAGATTACAGCTTTGAAACATTTCCTGTAGGAAGCTAACAATCTTTCTGTTCTTGTTTTTGGAATTTTCCTATTCTGTCTTGCGTGCGGCTTCCAGATGTTGACATGCACATTTCCAAGCAATACTGTATAGCAGTAGGTGGATCACAGCTGTTGGCCTTGGATGCTGACTAATGGATTTAATCAGGTTCCTAGATAGTAAGAATGTCTTCTTCTATCCTCTCTGTTCCCAGCTCCCCCACTTGTTAAGCATGGCTCCACAAACGTGCAGTTGACCAAGCCAAGCACAGTTGCGTGTACAGCAACAGATTTTTGTCCTGGCAAAATATCCATGACGTGGTTCCAAAATGATAGGATTGTGCAAGGCCCCGAACAGCCTCCTGCTCAGCCCAGCAACAGCCAATTGTTCAGAGCAGAAAGTGTCTTGAAGCTCATACCAGAATTTTCGGATGCCAATGCCAACTTCTCTTGCCATATCCATCACCAAGCGCACGAAGGGCCAGAGGTACTAAATTTCCGGCTGCAGTTGCAAGGTGAGTTTGACCTTTTGCTTGGAAAGCAAGGATTGCTGGCAGCCTTTCTCCAGCTGTCCAGTCACAGCCTCTTTATTTTAACCCATTTCTTGAAATTTGGGCTGAAAGGCAGAGCTGACGTTGAGCCCAGCGAGACCTTACCGGGAACGCCGCCACCACCGTAACCGCCGTCTCAGCCTTACCGGCCCCGCCGGTGAATTCAGACGCAGGGAAGGCAGCAGGGCTGGCGCAGCAGAGTGACGTCACCCCTCGCTTCCCTGCAGAGCCGCCGTTTGTGATATCGCCCCCTTGTGCCTCGCAGGGCTCAACACGGAGTGAGGGAGGCAGAACGGAGCTATGCAGGCTTACCAACTCCTATGGACACAGGCTGAAGAGACTAATCTTTGAAGGACGGCCATAGGCGGCTGCAGCGGGCGGAGAGCGGGGGCTGGGCGGAATTAGGCGGATGCTGGCTTGGGAGTGGGTGGGGCAGCTTGGATGCGGGTGGGGCGGCTTTCCTGTGGGTGGGGCGGCCGTGGCCTTTATGTACGGCACTGAGAGCAGTAGATCTCAGTGCTAACTTTTCCTTACACGTATGGCAATAAAAGCAACGTTTGTCTTCCGTACCTGTTTACTGGCTTGTCAGGAGCATCAAGGATAGGACGGCTGGACAGCTGAGTTCACAAAATGCAGAAAACATCATCTTGCTTATTTAAATCTTTATTTTTAAAAAGTCCTAATTAATTATATTTATGTGACCCACCCAGTTACAGACCCTTAGCTGACAAACCTCATGTGGCTTGGTTATTGTGACATCCTAAAGTCAGAACCAAACAAATCATAGTGTTGTGTAGCATGAACCAGCCATTAGGTTCACAGCTAGCTTTAGACTCAACTTGGAGTCGTTTCTGCCTTCTGGGTAATGTCACTCTTTCAACTAATCTGTATTTAGTGGAAGATGAGAAGCTCTTGGGGACTTGTATATGTTCTGATACTAAGTTGAAAGAAACCATGTGATATTTTATATGGTCACCCAGAAGGATATGCACAACTTGGATATCTGCCAAAGGGGGAAAAAAAGGACTAAAGTACTAAATTGTGCTCCCTGTAGAATCAGAACATGGCACACGTCAATTTGATATCATTGCACTTTTCAGACACAGTGGTGCACAATCTAAGGTCCCAGTGCTACACGTAGCTCCCCAAACATTGGATGTGGACCCCCAGAGATGTTGCTGTAGGTCAGGAGAAGAGAGAAATAAAAACACAAGGGTATTGCAGTAACTGCATATATCTGTAATGATGGTTGTTCAAACTGCACGTGATAAAACCTACAGTAGATTTACTGTCTTGATAGATTGGTTCTTTCAGATTGTAAATATATGGACTTTATGCCCTGTAACCTCTCCCTCTGCTAGCACAACTCAAACGTGAGCCTAGGGCTCTGTAGGGCTTAGAAGGTGCCTGGTTTCCCACTGGTGGGAAACCAGGCAGCTTGGCTCCCTGTAGGATCCAGGAATGCCCAAAGGCAGGTAGCTTTGTAGCTCATGACCTGTGTTTGTTTGAAATCAGTGTTTCTCAAATATGGCAGTTTTAAGATACAAGGACAGCAACTGCCAAAATTCTGACATATAAGCATCTTAAAGTTGCCAAGTTTAAGAAACATTGTTTTAGGTGGAAGAGGGGCACAGTCACTGGACACTGATTTTGGTGTTCCCTGATTGGTCAGCTGAAACAAGCTGATGTCAGATAGCCCTAGTTCACACAGCAGCTGTGCCAAGAATACAGGTAGTCCTTGACTTATGACCACAACTGAGCCTAAAATTTCTGTTACTATGCAAGACAGCTCTTAAGTGAATTTTGCCCAATTTTATGCCCTATTTTGCCACAGTTGTTAAATGAATCACTATAGTTGTTAAGTTAGCAACACAGTTATTAAGTCAGTCTGGCTCCCCCATTAACTTTGCTTGTCAGAAGGTCTGCAAAAGCTGATCACATGACCCCAGGACACTGCAACCATCATAAATATGAACCAGTTGCCAAATGTCTGAATTTTGATCACGTGACTGTGGGGATGCTTCAATGGTTGTAAGTGTGAAAAATGGTGATAATTTTTTTCAGTGCCACTGTAACTTCATATGGTCACTAAATAAATGGTTGTAGGTTGAGGACTACCTGTAATCTCAGGTGGGTCCAAGACTAGTTTCAAGGAGTTGGGAACTGATGATAGGAATTGTCTATTGTGGTGTTTCTCAACCTTGGCAGCTGGCTGGCTGGGGAATTCTGGGAACTGAAGTCCATCCATCTTCAAGTTGCCAAGGTTGAGAAACACTGGCATATTGGATCCAGAAGTTCAAGTTTCCTTCCTCTCTTTGCAACTCGCCCCATCCTTCAGCTGATCACAAGACCACAGGGGGAGAAATTTGTGGCAGCCGAGTGCAATGTGAACAAATTTTATCCCTCTCAAATCCACATTCAGTGGTTGCAAAACGGAGTGCCACAAGAGTGTGTAAAGTCAGAGGTGCACCGCATGCCAAATGGGATGTTTTCCATCAACAGTGTCTTATTCCCACAGACGAGTAATGTTAAACTCACTTATGTTTGTCGAGTAGAACATGAAGCTTTGGAGACCCCATTGGAACAGTCTGTCCATTGGCGGCCAGGTGAGGGAGATGCGATTATTCATCCTGATCTCCCAGGTACCCAAAGTACTAGGAATACATTTCTGCTCTCGCCATCTTGGCCCACAGGTACAACTGCAGTGATTCCTTGGTTGTTGGGATACATTCTTGGACTTGGGTCTGGATTGGCACTAGCAGGTGGCATAGTGTACTATAAAGGTAAGCTTTCACATCTAAAAAATGAAGAGTTTAATCGCAGGGATGAAGGGGAGAGACAAAGCAAACACAGGGAAAACACTAGGATGGAAGAGGCCACAGTACAGTTAGTCCTTGACCTATGATTATAATTGAGCCCAGAGTTATGGTCATAGGTTGTTGTGGTCCTAAGTTAAGGCAACACGTGACCAGACCCAATTTTTTTTACAATTTTTTAGCAGTTGTTAAACGAAGACAGTGGTTGTTAAGAAAATCCATTTCCCCAATGGCCTTTTTGTGCCAAAAACCGGAAGTAAATGCCGGAAACTATCGAATAAATTGCAAATTATGGTCATGTGACTGAGACGGTACAAACAGCAGTAAAGGTGAGCCAGTTGCCAAGTCCCCAAAATGTGATCACATGACCGTGCCAAGGATAAGGCTGTCCTAACTGAAAACAAGTTGTAAGTAGCTCTGTAGTAACTTTGTAAGGTCATTAAGGGACCAGTCATATGTGAATGAACCTGTACCTGTTAATGACACTTTTTTAATTATCTATTTACAGTCAAGAAGAATTCAGTTACAGGAACATCCAATGAGAAAAAGCCTCTTCAAAAGACAGATGAAGAGAAGGTACTTGACAGCTCAAACCCCAAGACAGGAGAGACCAGTAGTGGATTAATACCTACAGAAGAGTTTAATGATGTGCAGGAACAGCGACTTTGACTGGATGATTACCATATATATATTTTTTTCTGGAAAATGTCATCTATGTAAAGCAAGCTACAGATTTCTCTTTGGTGATCTGTACAATGCCTCATTTCCTTCCATGGCTTAAGGAAACGACAAATATGTGAAGGAGAGGTACAGTATCTGTGAAAGACAACAAGTGGAAATTATTCTTTGTAATAAGCCATCAGTCCCAGATTTCTACTTTTCATTTTTAAAAATCAAGCTGTTCTACAAATTATGCTGTGAAGCAAAACACTAAATCTCTCTTTTAGTTAGTTATTAGAAAAGGGGGAGGGGGGGGGAAACCCTGCCTATTTTTTAAAAAAACTTTCTAGCTAGATCTATGCAAAAAATTTAGAACTGGAAAAACCTCAAATTTGAACTACCCTATTTCAAGCATGCAACAATTATTTCAAGTGGAAAAAGACTGCTTTGATCAGTTTGGAAGCTTTTCAAACTCAAAATAGTTGTTTGATATTCAAAATGGGCCTGTTTGAATTTCAAACATTTTATTCATTCATTCAGTTCTGACTATTGGCGATTTTATATGAAAGTCGTCTCCATACTATCCTGTCAAGTCCAGCTTTTTTCAATTGTTGGATGTTCATCTTTGTGTCAGCTCTGATCATATTAAGCCAACGAGTTCTTTGCAGCCCCTTTTTCTTGATCCATTAACCATTCCTAGCATCATTGGCTTCTCCAATGAATTTGCACACATGACATGGCTAAAGTAAGTCAGACGTAGTCTTGTGATTTTGGATTCTAGTGTTGTTTCTGGTTTAATACGATTCAGCACCCTTCTGTTAGTTGTTTTGGCTGTCCATGGTATATGCAATCTTTTATGCCAGTACCACAGTTCAAAGGCCTCAATTTTATAGAGCCCTGTTTTTCAACCAGAGTGGCTATGACTGACGTACACGTAGGTTGAAATACAGGTAGTCCTCAATTTACAGCAGTTCATTTAGTGACTCTTCAGAGTTACAACGGCCTATGAAAAATATGACTTATGACCGTTTTTTACAGTTACAACCTTTGCAGCATCCCCATGATCATGTGATCAAAATTCAGATGCTTGACAACTGGTTCATATTTATGACCATTACTGTGTCCTGAGGTCATGTGATCACATTGACAAGCAAAGTCAATGGGGAACTCAGATTCACTTAACTGGCTTAAGGGTTAATAACTTATCAACTGCAGTGATTCACTTAACAAATGTGGCAAGAAAGGTCGTAAAACGGGGCAAAACTCACTTAAGACATGTTTCACTTAACAATAGAAAATTTGCACTCAGCTGTATAAGTTGAGGACTACCTGTACAAACTTACTGGGCTATTTTTTTTATTAAAAATATTCCCTAATGGTTGCTGCCCATTTTTTTAAAAAAAAATCAGAAATGTAAGACTTTTTAGTGTTGCTATAATTGCCAGCTGATCCTTGAATGGAAAAGAATTCATATTCTTTTAAATGTAATTTTAAAATCACACTTTTTAAAAAAAGAAGAGTGAGTGTAAAGATAGGCGGCAAGCAAGAAAATTGTGTTTGGGTGGAGTTAGTGAGATTCTCAAAAAGAAGGAAGTGAGAAGTTTAAAGAACGAAAGGTAATGTCCGAAATGGATGTGGAAGTAAAGTTTCAAGATGAGAAAGGTATGAAAAAATACATATTACTGATGTAAATTTAGCTTCTATCCTGCTTTTGCCATGTTTACTATTTTTTATATTTTTTGTGTGCTTTGCATGAAGCTGCTTCACCCAAAAGATAATAGCAAGAAAGTATTGTGTACATATATTACATAGAAAGAATTTTTGGAGTTTCTATATGTTTTTAAAATAATTCTACCAATGCATTGAAATCATATTCATTATTAGAGCCATAGTACAGAAAGGTGGAAGTAGCAAAGTGCCAAAGTGAGGAAAGTGCCATTGTAAATGACTTTTCTGTAGGCCTACAGTAGTGGCCACAATTGTGGAAACCTTTTGGGAAAAGTGTATTTTTGAGGTTTGATGGCTAATAACACCACTTTTTTTTGGAGTAGTACCATAAAATTATATATCAGTGGAAAGATAATTTAATCAAGAATGTAACGCAACAAAGTTTGGTCAATTATCTGTACTGTATTCTATGAAAGGTTATAGCCAAATAACCAGAAAAAGGAAGCACAACTTGCTTAGGTTGATATCAGATAGCTTTCCTTCATCTGATTGTAGCCAATGAGCATGAGTGTTTAGAGACCCAATCAGGTGTCATCTTGTTTTGGCAATGAGCCAATCAGATCACAGTAGGATTCAGTTATTGATGTCATGTATTGAAGCTGAGAGGAGGACATTTGTCAGTGTGTTATGTGATTGCTATCAAGTTGGTTGGGGTTTTTTGTGTTCTTTCATTTAGTGAGCTTGTAAAACGTAATAAAGTTAAAGTAATGGTGCAAAGAGTTGACTGGTTGCCCAGAAAGCGATGTAAAATAGTATTATTAAGTGAACAAGGCTACAGTTATAAAGAAATTAGAAGAAAAATTGGTGGAAACGTAACCAAAGGTGGCATTTCTACTGTACGCTTTTCCCAAAAGGTTTCCACAATTTTGGCCACTACTGTATGTAACATGCTTCAAATACTGGTGAGACAAGACAAGAGTCGTCTCTTGAAGGTTTTATAACCTAGTGCAGGGCTTTTCAACCTTTTCACCCATTGTACCACTTTTAGGATACGGCAATATCTGAGTACCACCAGTCGCCTAGCAAGGTGTCAAAAACTTGATGACCAAAAAAAAAAAAAGGAAAAAAGTGATGAAGTACAGGTAGTCCTTGACTTACAACAGTTCGCTTAGTGACTGTTCGAAGTTACAATGGCACTGAAAAAAGTGCCCCCCAAGCCACAGCCGAGCAAGACACCTGCCTGCCCACCCGGCGGCGCTCTTCCTCCTGTCCGAGGTTTTCATTGTTGAGCATTTCTGTTGAGGATTGGCAGCGGGGGTGGGGTGGGGTGTGTGTGGTTTTTATTCCCCCCATCTGATGGGTGGTTGCAGCAGGTATTGGTCACTTCACATGACCCTGGGACACTGTGACTGTCATAAATATGAATCAGTTGCCACGCATCTGAATGTAAATCACAAGACCCTGTAGATAAGGCAACATTCCAGCTGATTGGTGCTTCTTCAGGGCTCAGCAGAAGTGCCAGGATCAGCGCCGGGCTCCAGTTGGAGCCTGGCGCTGATCCTGGCACTTCCACTGAGCCCTGACAGTCCCGAAGAAGTGCCGATCAGCTGGAAAGCAGCACTGATCCTGGCGCTTCCGCTGAGCCCTGACAGCCCTGCAGCTCCAGCCATCTCTCGCTCAGGCTTGTGCAGTGCTGCCACTGGTTCAGCTCATTCCCCTCCCCCGCTACCACTTTTCTAGGATGGTCGTGTACCACCTGCCAGGTGCCAATGTACCACAGGTGGTACCCATACCACTGGTTGAAAAGCCCTGCTTTAAGGAGTCTGCCTAGCCAGAGTCCAGTTCCCAGCAAAATCTAGTGATTTGATCTAACAGATGCCAAGAATATTCCTCACGCCGCGACCTTGCAAGATCCTCCTTACCCAGGAGAGATCTGATTATCTGAAACAGGGCAGCCAGTTGACTCCCTGCAGAAGCAATAAGAGCGATGAAGTAATTATGTTTTGTGACTCTCATCCCCACAAGATAGAGACTAATACATGTTTTTACCTGTGTTCGGGCGAGTCTCGCACTTTGTCTTCCTCTCGCGGTGCTGTAGGCATCGCTTAAGCTAGAATGAGAGAGGTGCCTCATATATTTTATCTGTCTATTTATCTCTCTGTTGGAAGTTAAAAGGCCTCTGATCTGCCGATCAGCATACAATCCCAGTACTTAAGACTAACATCCCACTAATCAGTATCACAGTGGTTAAGTGAATCTGGCTTCCCCATTGACTTTGCTTGTCAGGTCACAAAAGGTGACCACATGACCCTGGGACACTGCAACCGGTCATAAAGATGAATTGGTTGCCAAGTGTCTGAATTTTGATCATATGACCATGGGGATGCTGCAATGGTTGTAAGTGTGAAAAACAGTCATGTCACTTTTTTCAGTGCTGTTGTAGCTTTGAACAGTCACTAAATGAACTGTTGTAAGTCAAGGACTACCTGTACTAAACAATTTGTTCTCTCACCCCGCCTCCTCCTCTTTTAAAATTGGGATTTGCCAAACCGTGCCATTTAAGATGATTGAGATGACTCTATACCTTGAGAGAAATGTGATAACGGAGAGAGCTCGGGCAAAACTGGTAATTATAAGATTAAATGTGATATTTTGTAAATTTGGGCGCACAGAATGTCATAGACACAGCGCAAGGTAAGGAAACCGAGCTGGGCAAAAGCAGTACTCCGTAACCATAACAACGAACAAAGACAGAATACCCAACGCGCGAGGGGAGAAGTAGGAGGAGCCTGCGCCAGGGCCGGTAACAAGCGCAGCGGAAGCTGCCGCTGTCATTGCTTCGTCCGATGAAAGGGCCCATTCTATTGGCTTGTCGTAGAGGCAACCCCCCCTCCCTCGGCAGCGCGCGAGGCAGGGGCGGAAAAGGCGGGGGGGGGGGAAAGTCATATAAGGAAGTGATTTTTTTTTTGTTTATTTTAAAGGACGTCTTTTAAAAAAAAAGCCCTCACGTGATCTGATTCGGCTGTTCAAACGGAGGGGAGAAAGGCCGGGTAAGTTTGCGGAAAAGGAACATTAACTTGAATTTGAAGGGGAATTTTGCACGCGCTAGTGAAAGAGTTTCCCCTCCCCGAGTTCATTCTAATGGGTCATCCCAGGCGGCGGTTGACTGATCTTGGGGGTAGGGTGGGGGTTATGGCTGAATTATACCTGCAGGATGAAACCAGCGTTGAAGGTTTTGTCCGAGGTGGTTAAGCCTTCCACAATCATGACTGGACAGTCGGTAGCTTTTGAAAGAGTCTTCCTGCCCTCCTCTTTCTCTTTCCACCCGGTATTTGTTCTTTCGGAAGAGGCCCGACAGTCTGGTGTTTTTTTTTAAGGGGGGTGTAAATGTAGATCTTTGGGTCATTTCTGACAACAACCCTGTGGAGCAGGCACTCCGGTTAAGAGTGTTTCTCCCCCGGCTTTCTTAGAAGCAGGCGTGGGTAGAAAATAGATCTGCTGGGAGATACCAGGGATTTGTGGTAGGTTGGTAAGGATTCCTGAAGTTCAGTTGCAAAATGAAGGCATCCGGCAAAGGAATTGGCTCCTTTTCCCACTGTTGAAATGAAGTTTAGGATAACTGTGAGTTCAAGTACCTTCCTTGTCTGCTTCTTAATTGATCAGTGCCTTTAATAGTAGTAGCCCCGAAGGTGCTTTTTCAAGAGGCAACTGGACTTTCTTGTTTTTCTTTGAAGATGTTTTATCTGAACAGAACAGAATAACAGAGTTGGAAGGGACCTTGGAGGTCTTCTAGTCCAGGGATTTTCAACCTTTTCACAGATTGCACCACTTTTAGGATATGGCAATAGTCGAGTACCACCTAGCAAGGTGTCAAAAACTTGATGACACCCCCCCAAAAGGGAAAAAAGTGATGAAGTACAGGTAGTCCTTGACTTACAACAGTTTGCTTAGTGACTGTTCGAAGTTACAACGGCACTGAAAAAAGTGACTTATGACCATTTTTCACACTTATGACCGTTGCAACATCCCCAGGATCATGTGATTTACATTCGGATGCTTGGCAACTGATTCATATTTATGATGGTCACATTGTCCCCGGGACATGTGATCCCCTTTTGCAACCTTCTGACAAGCAGAGTCAGTGGGGAAACCAGATTCACTTAACAGTTGTGTTGCTAATTTAACAACTGCAGTGATTCACTTAACAAATGTGGCAAGACAAGTCATAAAATGGGGCAAAACTCATTTAACAAATTTCTCACCCCTCCTTTTATATCTTCTCTCCACCCTCCTTTTATATCCTCTTCTCCCCTTCTTTTATATCTTCTATTCTCTCCCCCTTTCTTTTATATCCTCTCTTCTCTCCCCTCCTTTTATATCCTCTCTTCTCTCCCCCCTTCTTTTATATCCTTTCTCTCTCCCCCTTCTTTTATATCCTCTCTACTCTCCTCCCCTTCTTTTATATCCTCTCTTTTCTCCCCCCCTTTATATCTTTTCTTCTCCCCCCTTCTTTTATATCCTCTCTTCTCTCCCCTTTTATATCTATTTTCTCCCCACTTTTATATCCCCTCTTCTCTTTTATATTCTCTCCTCTCCCCTCCTTTTTATATCCTCTCTTCTCTCCCCTTCTTTTATATCCTTTTCTCTCCTTTTATATCTTCTCTCCCCCTTTTTATATCTTCCCCCTTCTTTTATATCCTTTCTCTCCCCTCCTTTTATATCTTCTCTCTCCCTTCCTTTTATATGTTCTCTTCTCTCCCTCCCTTTTATATCCTCTCTTCTCTCCCCTTCTTTTATATCCTCTCTTCTCTCCCCCCCTTCTTTTATATCGTCTCCTCCCCCCCCTTTTCAGTGTACCTCCAGCTGACTGCTCTCCTCAAGGCTGCGCTTCTCCATCTCTCTTTTACCTCAAGCAGCTCCAGCTGACTTTCCCACAAGCCTGTGCGACCGCCGCTTCACCTCATCCACTTTTACACTTTTTTTAACACTTTTTTTTTTACAGTGCTTTTCAACCCGTTGTACATGTACCACCTGCCAGGTGCCAACGTACCACCAGTGGTGCACGTATCACCAGTTGAAAAGCCCTGTTCTAGTCCAACCCCCTGCTCAGGCAGGAAACATTTCGGACAAATGGCTGTCCAATCTCTTCTTTAAAACTTCCAGTGTTGGAGCATTCATAACTTCTGGAGGCAGGTTGTTCCACTGATTAATTGTTCTAACTGGTGTGGTTCTAACTGATGTTTGCACAAAGCTGAAGAAGCTCCTTGGATGAGAAGTGAAACATCTTCAAAGAAAAACAAGAAAGTCCAGTTGCCTCTTGAAAAAGCACCTTTGGGACAACCATGACCTGGATGACTGAGAATCTCCATAGACTTTAATAGTAGCATTTGTTTTTCACCATACTTCAGCTGATTGATTGTTTCATTAAAATTTGTAGGGCTGCCCACTCACATTCAGTGACTCTGGGTGGCTTACAAAAATTGATAGGCCTTGTGTTTTCTCTCTCTAATAGATCCTGTTCTCCTGTAATTATACAGTTTTTGTAGACCCTCTGTTTTTTTAAAGTATAGCCAGCAAATCTAAAGTTTGTCTCCCCTGCAATTTTATACATTTCTTTTTTTCCTTACAGTTGACATTTCTTATTCCCGGCCATGGGATCCCAGCAGCAACCTTATGCTGATACAGCTCCAATTTTCACCCAGGCAGATGATACTGAAGGTGAAGGAAAAGATGATCCTCAGCCAGGGCACATAGGGGAAGAAGAAGTACGAGCCCTGACAGGGATATCCTCTCAACATGCAGGCCTTATTGTGGGTGTACTCTTTTTTATTAATCTACTGAACTACATGGATCGCTTCACTGTAGCTGGTAAGCACAATGGAATGGTAGCTGAAATTCTTCCAGTTTCTTTTTGAACTGATGAAATGGGTGAAGGTGTATAACTTTTAAAGCAAAGATAAATAGATTCTCCCCATTTGTTCCTGGCTTTGGTTAGATCAGTGGTTCTCAACCTTTCTAATGCCGCGACCCCTTAATACAGTTCCTCATGTTGTGGTGACCCCCAACCATAAAATTATTTTCGTTGCTATTTCATAACTGAAAATTTGCTACTGTTATGAATCGCAATGTAAATATCTGATATGCAGGATGTATTTTCATTGTTACAAATTGAACATAATTAAAGCATAGTGATTAATCACAAAAACAATATGTAATTATATATTGTTAAATATTTCTAATTACAAATAAATGAAATTTTGTCTTGAAGCATGGTGTGGCATGGGTAACAGTCTTAATATAACAACAGTAAACTACATTGCTACATTTTTCAACAGTATGCGTAAGAAGCCAACGTCAGTGCGAAGGTTGAGATTGCTTCTTTCTCACCAGATCAGAAATTCTCAGGGCAGTCTTTGCAAGAGCACAACGAAGATCATCTTCCACAACAAGTCTACTTCTGTATTTAGACTTAGCTGGAAAACCCTGTTTCACAAAGATATGTTGTTGGAAATGGAAGAAGAAGGCGCAACACAGTCTCAGACAGAACAGGATATGACTGCAAACATTTGATCCAGAATTTTGTAACTGGCATTGTAGAGAAATCAGTTCTCGCTGCATCGCTGTTAATAAGTTCAATGAACTCCTCTTGTGCTGTCTCAGGAACATTTTCAACTTTGACTGTGAATGGGCTTCTGGCAAGTGCAAATGGGGTGTCAGGTAGATTTGGAAAGTACGATGAAATTTCATCTGCAAGCATGTGCAAGTGTTCTTTCACAGAAATTATCATCGTAATCCTTTTGTCTGGTTCAATGTCATGTTCCTCAAAGAAAGCAGATAAGGTAGGCAACATGTAAATTTTATTTTCATCCAATTTTTTTTGCCAAAGCTGAAGTTTCATTTGGAATGATCGGATCTTTTCAGACAAATCGAGGCACGTTGCATTTGGTCCTTGCAGT